TTCTGGAGAGGAGTATTAGGTGGCTAAGCATAGCATGCGAGGGGTGGGGCGTTCCCTATAGATCCTTTACATCATTTTTATTTTATAAATATGTGTCACATGTCCTGGTTACTGTCTTTGGTTTTTGTGAGGGGGGGGTTGTGTGTGTGTGTGTTTTGTTTTTTTTTTTCTGAGACAGTGTCTCCCTGTAGCACTGGCCTGGAGCTTGCTATGTAGACTGTGCTGGCCTCCAACTCACAGATATCACCTGCCTCTGCCTCCCAAGTGCTGGGATTAAAGGCATGTACCACCACACCTGGCCTGTCCTAGTTAGTTTTTTTTTTAAGTTTTATTGTTTTAAACTTATGTATATGAGTGTATTGCCCACATGTATATAAGTATACCTGTGTTGTGCAAAGTCCAGAGGTCAGAAGAGGGAGTTGGATTCCCTGGAACCAGAGTTCTGCATGGAACAGCCACCATGTGGGTGCTGGGAACTGAACCCAGGGCCTCTGCAAGAGCAGCCAGTGCTCTTAACTGCTGAGCCACCTCTCCAGCCCATATCTTAGTTACTTTCTATTGCTGTGATAAAACACTGACCAAAAGCACCTTTGGGGAAGAAAGGGTTTATTTCCCCTTACAGCTTATAGTCCATCCTGAAAGGAAACCAAGACAGGAACTCAAGGAACCTGGAGGCAAGAACTGAAACAGAAACCAAGGAGTAATGGAAGAAAAGAGGAATGCTGCTTAGGCTTGCTCCTCTGACCTGTGCTCATCCTGTTTCTTATACAATCCAAGCCCACCTGCCCAGGGATGGCACTACCACAGTGGGCTGGGCCCTCCCACATCACTTAATAAAGAAAATGCCTCACAGACATGGTCACAAGACAATCTCATAGAGGAAATTCCTCAAGTGAGGTTCTGTCTTCCCAGGTACGTCATGTCAACAAATGAAACTATTCAGCACACACACTACCTATACAAATTTATTTCATTTTCTTTTCATTCTTTTTTTTATTTTTTTGGTCTTTTTGAGACAGGGTCTCCCTGTAGCCCCAGCTGTCCTGGAACTCACTATGTAGATCAGGCTGGCCTTGAACTCACAGAGATCTGCCTGTCTCTGCCTCCCGAGTGCTGGGATTAAAGGCGTGTCCCACCATGCCCGGCTAAAGATTTATTTTTACTTGTGTGTAGGTTTGTGTCTGTGTGTAGTTACAGATGCTTGTTAGCCACCATGTGGGTGCTAGGAGCCATGTGGGTGCTGGTGCCATCTCTCCAGCCCTTATTTTATTTTGTTTTATTTTATTGTGGTGTGTGTGTGTGTGTGTGTGTGTGTGTGTGCGTGTGTGAGCACATACATGCAGGTGCCCCCAGAGGCTAAAAGAGGGTGTCTCCTGGATCTGGAGTTACAGGTGATAGTCAGCCACTCAATGTGGGTGCTGAGAACCAAAATCTAAACTCCAGTTCTCTGGAAGAGCAGCAGTGGCTCCTAACTGCTTATCCATCTTTCCAGCCCCTTTTCTCTTTCATTCATTTACTCACTTAGAATGAGAGGGTCTTACTATGTAGCAGAAGCCGACCTGAAGCTTGCACTCTTCTGGTTCAGCCTCCTGAGTGCTGGTATTATAGACGTGCACCACCGTACCTGACTCTTCACCTGTGAGATGGCTTGAGGTTTTTGTTCTTTTGTTTTGGGAATTACATTTCCTTTTAGCACATTAATACTGTGAAGAAAGCATTGTTAGTATTTCCTGTGGTTTGGACACTAGGCTCAACTATAGAGACTGTCTCACCCTTCCTGACAAAGTAGATGATGAAACAGAAACACAAGGATTGACTTTCCTTTGTAGGAAATCATTTAGCCCTGACATCGCTGCTCACTGGACTCTCCTGCTGATTCTGGAAGCTTTATCATTCAGCCTTGGCCTTTCTCTCATTCTCCTCTGCCTGTGTCCTTGTTCTTCCTTGACAAACAGTCTAGCCCCGGCCTCCAAAACCTGGAGCACAGATCCATGTGACTTTTCTGTCCTGTGGCCATTCACTGTCATTTGGGTTCAGAAAATGAGTGACACAGTACTGTGATACAAATTTCCTGGGCCAGTGAGATAGCTCAGCAGGTAAAGGCACTTGGTACCACGCCTGACTGTTTCCTTAGTTCAGTTCCTGGGATCCACATGTTGGAAGGAGAGAACCAACTCCTCTGACCGCCACACATGTGCTGTGTCATGTGCACCCACACACATATATACATGCACACACACAAAATTAATAACTATACTATAAATTCAGTAATTAAAGGTTTCCAAATAGTACATTTCACTGATGCTTCAGGTTGGCTGTTTGTGCATGTGTGTTAAGAGCATAATTAAAATGTTTTGTTTTTTTTTTTCGGTCTTTTTGAGACAGGGTCTCTCTGTAGCCCCAGCTGTCCTGAAACTCACTATGTAGACCAGGCTGGCCTTGAACTCACAGAGATCCACCTGCCTCTGCTTCCTGAGTGATAGGATTAAAAGCATGTGCCACCATACACACACTCATCTTGGTTTTGTTTTTTTTTTTTTTGAGACAGAATCTGTCACTGAATCTGGAGGTCACTGATTCAGCTAGACTGGCTGGCCAACGAGCTCAGCAGTCCACTTGTCTCCACTTCCCCAGTGCTGGGTTTCAGATATGAGTGGCACATGAGGCTTTTCGGTGTGAGTGCTGGGGATCCACACTCAGGCCCTCACGCTCGCACGGCAGGCACTTCACTGACTGAGCTATTGCCCTAGCCTCCTTTTTGGGGGGGAGGGGGTGGGAGTGGCAATTCTGTGTTTATTTTTAAATGCATTTTTATGTTTGAGTGTTATACCTGCATGTGTGTTAAGAGTACCCATGTCATGCAATGCCCAAGGACAGAAGAGGGTGTCAGATGCACTGGAACTGGAGTTATGGATGTTGTTAGTCGCCACATGGGTGCTGGGATTCGAACCTACGTCCTCTGTAAGAACAGCCAGTGCTCTTAACTGCTGAGCCATCTCTCCAGACCCCCCAGTTCTGTTCGTTTTTTTTTTTTTTAAATTAATGTCCGGATTGATTCTCCCGCTTGGGACTTGTCTCTCACGGGGGTGGCACAGACGATGCTCTGGTACTTCCTTCCCCCACAGGGAGAACTGGACAGAGGAGGCAGGGTATCAGGAACAAAAGGGCCTGGAGGTAAAAAGATCTGTGCCTCCAGAGCACCACAGTACATAGTATGCATTTGAGATCTGGGCGAGGCTCCAGCTATTCCTGTCCTTAGCATCTCTCTCTCTCCCTCCCTCCCTCTCTCTCTGTCTCTCTTACTCTCTCTTTCTCTCTCAGGAACCTGGCAGAGCTGGAGCCACATTAGGCAGCTGGTCAGAATTGAACGGTTTGTCTTCAGACCATTGTTCTTGACCATATACTATCCTGAATAAATATCAAACCTCTGCAAAGAAAGAATCAGTCTCTCAAAAAGACTGAAGGAAAAGCAGTAGTCTTCTGAACTCAAAATAATAAATGCTTATGGGCATGGTGGCACACAACTTTAATCCCAGCACTAAGGAGGTAGAGGCAGGTGGATCTCTGTGAGATGGAGGCTTGCCTGGTCTACATGGAGAGTTCCAGGCCAGTCAGGACTACACAGTGAGACCCTGTCTCAAAAAAATCAAAATAAGCCATGCATGGTGGCACACACCTTTAATCCCAGCACTCTTGAGGCAGAAGCAGGCAGATATCTATGCATTCAAGGCCAGCCTGGTCTACATTTCGAGTTCCAGGCCAGCTGGGGCTATAGGGAGACCCTGTCTCAAAAAGACCAAAAAAAATCTAAATAATAATAATAAATAATAGATTCTATTTGCAATATATGTTTGAAAACTTTATTTGCTCCCCTATTGTATGTCTGCTTGAACTAAGGCGAGAGATAAACTCTCCTTGCCCACAAAAGTAGTAGCGGTTTTGGGCACATTTGTGACAATTATAAATACTAAGAGATAGATTTGATCTTAGAAAATATGTAGTCTGTGTTTCTCACTTCAGGTGAAGGAATGGGAAGCACAGATTCTTGTTCATGGTGATATTTCCAGCACTGAGCACCATCCTGGTACATGGTGGGTGTTCATTTTTTGTAAGATTGATAAATATGCCCTTGCTGTACATAGCATAGTACATGCCAATGCATTTTGTTGTAGTGGTGGTGGTAGTTTTGAGACAGGATCTTGTTATGTAGCCCAAGCTTGTCTCACTTTCTCAGTCCTCACACCTCAGCCTCCTGCATGCTAAGATTACAAGCATATATCACCATGATTGGGTCCAAGCAATTTTTTATTTGAAATCATTCTATGAATGTCAAATATATCCAGAGAGTGACAGGGCTGGAATGAGACCATGACCATGTGGACTCCCTGACAGGGAGTCTGTCTGCACCTCTGGGACAACCCCACCTCAGGAATACCAATAAATATCTAGGTTCTATGAGATGGAATGTGGCTCACTGTACCTACATCTTAAACTTTTATATGTGATGTGCATGAGTGTTTTGCCTGTGTGTATGTAAGTACATTCACGTTATGCAATGCCTGTGGATGGTAGAAGATTGGATCCCTTGGAACTGGAGTGACAGATGGTTGTTAGCCACCATGTGGGCACTGTGAATTGAACCTAGGTCCTCTGCAAGACCAGCCAGTGTTAACTGCTAAGCCATCTCCCCAACCCTGAGTAAACTTTAAGTTTACTCTGATAGAACTGTATCTTTATCTTCTTTTCCTGGGACAGCATGAAGCCTAACACACCATGACGATATATGTGTGGATTTTTTCAACAAAGTTGGAGAAGGAACATCCCATACACACACACACACACACACACACACACACACACACACACACACACAGAGTGATTTCTTCCTGATGTGACAAGGATGAAAGAGAGTTGGGACCTGTGCCATGTATTCTTCCGGCATGAATGAGGGGGTGCTGAGACAAATTCCGTGGCAGTTAGAAAATGAACTGGCTGCCAAGATGGAGAGGAAGGAACAAACCATGACCTTCTACAGTCCCGAGGTCCCCAAAATAAAAGGGGACCGGAAATACCAAAGGGTAAGGAGGCCAGAGGGGAGGAAGAGACTTATTTAAGGACAGAGCTAGACAGAGAACAGATCACCTTAGAACTTTTGACTATTAAACGAGATATCCATACACATCAAACTCACATGAAGATATTTGAGGCAGAGAAGAATAGGAGAGCTTGGGGATGCAGGATTAGCTTCTTGGGTAGGCAATATTTTCCTCATCCTTGTAGCCTACTCTCCCTACCAACAAACATCCGAATGCCTCGATGCCACCCCAGAGGCTGCAGCAGTATGTGGATCAGACATACACCTATACGCGAATGTTCTGTGGCAGCCTCTGTGGCTTTAGCCTCCTGCTGCTGATCTGCACGTCTCCACTGAGCTGGGTGCAGTTCCTGGTGACCAACAATGGCCTTGAGCTCTATGCAGGACTCTGGACCTTATGCAACCATGAGCTGTGCTGGAGCCACACTCCCAAGCCACCCTGTGAGTGCCATAAGGTAAATGCCATAGGCCCCACAGTTCTAGAACTTTCTACCACATTGTGCTTTGGCCTTTCCTCCTGTGCTGGATAGCTTTAGTGTCAACTTGACACACCTGGGTTGAAGGAGCCTCAATTGGGGAATTGCCTCCATTGGACTGGCCTATGGCCATATCCATGGGGCACCTTCTTGATTGTTGAGCGATGTGGGAGGGCGCAGCCCACTGTGGGTGGTACCACCCCTGGGCAGGTGGGCCTGTGTTGCATAAGAAAGCAGGCTGAGCAGGGGCCAGGGGAGCAAGCCAGTAAGCAGCGTTCCTCCATGGCCTGTGCTCCAGCTCCCTGCCCTGAGTTCCTACCTTGGGCTCCTGGATGAACTGTGACCCGGGATATTTAAGATGAATAAACCCTTTCCTCCCCAAGTTGGTATTGGTCAGAGTGTTTTGTCACAGCAATGGAGAACAGGACACCTCCTTCAAGATCTTCTGGTCGTCACCTCTCCAACTCCGTTTCAGCCAAGGTGTGAATGTAGCCACCTTTTCCACTGGTTTTCTCAGTGACCCTTCCTCTTTCCCATCCCAGGTTGATTCCATCCCAGATAATGAGCTGACTCTTTAGACAAAGTTCTTTTAACATTTATAAGATGTTATTGTGCAAGCTCCAATCATGCTTGGGTATAGATGACACACATGATTAACACTTGGGTGTCCTTTTTATCTAGAGCCTCCTCTTTCTAGACCAAGGTTTCTTATTGGAAGATACAAACCTCTTGTACCTGAGATACTAAGAGATTTGAAACTTTGATAGGTAGGCTTGCTGCCCTCAAAAACCTGAAGTCAGGCTGGGCGTGGTGGCACACACCTTTACTCCCAGCCCTTGGGAGGCAGAGGCAGGTGGATCTCTGTGAGTTTGAGGCCAGCCTGGTCTACATAGTGAGTTCCAGGACAGCTGGAGCTACAGGGAGACCCTGTCTCAAAAAGACCAAAAAACAAAACAAAACAAAACAAAAAAAAACCCTGAAATCAAAGCTGGGGCATAGCTTACTGGTAAAGTATTTGCCTAGCATATACAAGGCCCTGGGATCATTTTTCAGCACCACACACATATACACAAAATCTTGCTTGAAAAAGTTGAATCAACCACCGGGTATGGTGGTATGCACCTTTAAGCCCAGGCCTCCAGAGGCAGAGGCAGGTGGATCTCTGCAAGATACAGGCCAAGCTGGTCCACATAGTGAATTCCAGGTGGCTGGGACTAGGGAGACCCTATCAAAAAACAAAAATTAAAAACAGAAATTGAAGCCCAGTATGGTGGTACATGCCTTTAATCTCAGCACTTGGGAGGCAGAGACAGGTGGATCTCTATGTGAGTTTCAAGGCCAGCCTGGTCTATATAGCAAGTTCCAGGCCAGAGTTACATAGGAAGACTCAGTCTCCAAAACAAAACAACCAAACCAAACCAAACCGAACACAAAACAAAACAAACACAAAACAAAAAGTTGAATCAGTGGGCTGGAGAGATGGCTCAGTGACTAAAAGCACTTGCTCTTCTTCCAGAGGACCCTCTGAGTTTGGTTCCCAGGAACCATGCCAGGCAGTTCACAGCTGTTTGTAACTCCAGCTCCAGGGGATCCAACGCCACCCTCTTCTGGCCTCTTCAGGTATTGCACTCTCGTGCCCATACCTGACTTTCCCACAAAATAAAAATAAATCTTCAGTTGCTGGAGAGATGGCTCAGCAGTTAAGAACACTGGTTGTTCTTGCAGAAGACCTGGGCTTGAATCCCAGCACCCATATGGCAGATAACGACTCTCTGTAACTCCAGTTCCAGGGGATCCCACAGCCTCTTCTGACCTCCACAGGCATTGCACGACATTGGTGCACTTACCTACATGCAGGCAATACATGCATGCACATAAAATAAAAATAATAAATATTAAAAAAAGAATCCTCCAATATGGGTTGATGAGATGGTTCAGTGGGTAAAACACTTACTGTGCAAGCCTAAGGACCTGAGTTCGATCCTAGGACCCCACCTTAAAGAGTCCTCCAGCAATCACATAGTATTTGTTCTCTCTGTTATATAGATGAGAAGCTGGTTTAAAAAAAATTCTTAAAAAAGAAAAAGCAACTTGCTCCAAACTACCCAGTTTATGGTAGTGGTCCTAGGATAGGGTTCTGGGAATGAATCTCAGATCCCCAAAGACTCCCCACACTTTGTTTTTAACTTCTGGCATAGGAAACAGGGCAGAAACCAGTTGTGGCTAGAAGCTTCCTATGGTAATGGTTCTTTTTTTTCTTTTTTCTTTTTTTGGTTTTTTGAGACAGGGTCTCCCTGTAGCCCCAGCTGTCCTGAAACTCACTATGTAGAAGAGGCTGGCCTTGAACTCACAGAGATCTGCCTGCCTCTGCCTCCCAAGTGATGGAATTAAAGGCGTGAGCCACCACACCAGGCAATGGTTCTTTTTTTAAAAAATATATTTTTATCGGGCTATGAGACTCAGTTTTAGAAATAAAAAGCTCTCTTGGGCATGGTGGTACAAGCCCGAAATTCCATTCCTTGGGAAACTGAGGCAGGAGGACTGTGACTTTGTGAGTACCTTGGGCTACATTGCAAAGCCTAACCCGTATATATATTACAAAATTTTTATATGGTTCTTCTTGTTTTTGTCTAATTCTAGAAAGAACGTATGTGTATGGGTGTGAGCATGCCACAGCACAGAGATCTTGCTGGAGTCAGTTCTTGCCTTCTACCACGTGGTTGCCAGGGATCGAACTCAGGTTGTGAGGCTTGGTGGCAAGTGCCTTTACCCACTGAGCTATCTTGCTGGCTCACATATATTACACACACATAGATACAGATATCAGAATCATGTGAGCTAGCATAAGCTTAAAGGAACTTTTTTGAAGCTACAGAAGAATGTTATAGACTCCCAAGGGTGGGAAGTGCGCAGAGCATGCAAGGAAGGATTCAAGACTGGGATCTCAGACAAAGAAAATTAAGCCATCCAGTGGCTCAGGCTCTCTAATGTCCCTTTGTCACTCATCTTTGTTTATGTTTTGCTTTATCTCCACAGTCCAGGTTTTCCTGTTTATTAGGATGTGAGTGCCAAAAAGTGATATCCAGGATTAGTGCTACATCTTTTTAGCTCACACAAGCAAAAGAGGAAATTGCATTTCCAAGCATAATAATCAAATTGATCCAACTGCCGCCAGGTTCCCTTTCTTGGTCCAGTTAGCTGTAGTCAGGAGTCAGTAGGCAAGGACTGCCAGGGCGCTTGGGATGTCATGAGCTAAATGCTACAAAAAGTGCCTGTGTCACAGCGCTTCGTGCAGCTCCATTTGGGCTGATGTTTCTGAAAGTTACATAGACTGCTCATTCTCAATGATCTGGACTTTGGAAATTATTTCATTTTTATTGTGACCAACTTGTGATTTCTCTCAAGGGAAGTGATTATTTTTAGCATAAAAAGTGGGTTCTGGAGAATAAAATGAAATTTATGAGGTAGTTTTTTAATATTTTTATTTATTATTTTTATTTTATGTGTGTATTGTTTACATGTAGGTAAGTGCACCCATGTCTTGTAATGCCCACATTACATGTTGGATCCCCTGGAACTGGAGTTAGCTACCATGTGGGTGCTGGGATTCAAACCCAGGTCTTCTTTAAGAACAACCAGTGTTCTTAACTGATGAGCCATCTCTCCAGCCCCTTAACATTTATTTTTTAATCTAAAAAATTGTTATGAGCCTGGAAAGATGGCTCAGCATGCCCTCAGAGCCAGAAGAGTAGGATCCCCTGGAACTGGAGTTACAGAGTTACAGACAGCCATTAGCTGCCCTGTGGGTGTGAGAAACTGAACCCCATTGAAAGAGCAACCAGTGCTCTTAACCAATGAGCCATCTCTCCAGCCCTTTGGTTTGTTTTTTTGCAGCAGGGTCTCAAGTAGCCTACTCTGGCCTCCATACCACTAAATAGCTGAGGATGACCTTGAATTCCTGATCTTCTTGTCTCTTCCCTTTAAATTCTGGGATTACACCTGGTTAAGACTGGAAAAATCTTGAAACACTATTTTTTTATGGGTTACTTGGAAACTGGACTTGGACTTATCGACACTTGGATAAGGGCACTGAAGCAAAAGAACTCTAGCAGACTTCTTTGAACAAGTATGTGATAAAACCCTGGGGGGATCTTAGAAAAAGAAGGGTCTAGGGGTATTAAGTTCCTATATTCTGGTAAGCTTGGACTTGAAATTATTACAGTATAGAAGTTAAAGTAGCCGGGTGTGGTGGCACACGCCTGTAGTCCCAGCACTTGGGAGGCAGAGGCAGGTGGATCTCTGTGAGTTTAAGACCTGCCTGGTTTACATAGTGAGGTCCAGGCCAGCTGGGGCTACAGGGAGACCCTGCCTCAAAAAGACGAAAAAAAAAAAGTTAAAGTAAATGTGGCTCCATTTTTCAGTTACAGACTGACAAGGCCTGGAAATGCCAGACATATCAGAAAAGCCAAAGAGAAACAAACTCCAAGCCCAACCATTAGACAAGCAGTGAATATGATAGACTATTCTATAGGCATTAGGAATGTTTATGGGGCTGGGAAGATGATTCCGTTGGTAAAGTATTTGCTGTGCAAACATGAGGATCTGAGTCTGGATCCCCAACCCCACATAAGAAGAAGAAAAAAAAGCCTGTTGCAGTGGCAGGAAGCAGCAGCTGTAATCCCAGTGCTGGGAGCTTAGAGACGGGAGGATCCCGGGAGCTCACTAGCCAGGCAGCCTAGTTCAATGAGTCGGTTCAGTGCGAGACCCTGTCTCAAAAAACAAGGTGGCGAGTAATTGAAGAAAGCACATAACATTGACCACTGGCCTCCACATGCATGAACACACTGTACACATGCACACACACATGAACACACCACACCCACACACATACACAAATGATATTTATAACAAGTACCTGAGGAAAAATGTCATTGCAAATCTTAAAAATAAAACAAAACAAAAAACAACTTACATGGTATGCTGCTTATCATATGTACATATGTACTGAAGGTAGAAAAATGATACAAAGAATAAAACCAATGTGCTGTAGACAGTCACAGCTATCTGGGAGGCTAAGTGAGGAAGATTTCAAGTTTGGACCCAGCCTAGGCAACATAGAAAGAAAAAATGCCAGGCCTGGTAGTGCATACTTATAATCCTAGCACTTGGCAGCTGGAGGCAAGAGGACAAAGAATTCACGGCCAGCTAGACATCTCAGCACTGGAGAGGCAGAGGCAGGCAGATCTCTCAAGGCCAACCTGGTCTACATAGCAAGTTCCAGACTAGCCAGGACCACATAGTGAAATCGCTGTGCCTGACTCACCCATTTTCATTGAGACACTACTCACTGTACTCACCAAGCCTTTCTCTTCACTTGCAGATTATCTACAGTATTCCAGGGCCGCCTTCATTGTCTCTGTCCTCACTATACTGACTGGCCTTGGCTTTCTCTTCAGTTCTTGCCGCCTTACAGAAGGAAGCGTGACCCCTGACCTCGATCTGAAGCTATCCATGCTCAACTTCATGTCAGGTACAGAGTAGACTGGCAAGGTAATACCATGGTAAAATAGTCAAGGTAGAGGGATTCTCTGGGGACTATCCATACTCATCTGCTTGTTCCTCCTCAATATTGTACCAAGTGACCAGCTACCTTACCTTATTACATAGAATATGCCTTAGCCGACATATACCCAGGTAGAGGCCCCTTTCTTTCTCTCATCTTGACTAATCCCCAAGTTTTTATGTTTTATTATTCTTATTTTATATGTATGAGTGTATTGTACATGGAGGTCAGAAGAGGGCGTCTGGATCTGGAGTTACAGACGATCAGTTGCTAGTCGCCATGTGGGTGCTGGGATTTGAGCCTGGGTCCTCTGCAAGAGCAGCCAGTGCTCTTAATGGCTGAGCCATCTCTCCAGCCCTCATCAAGTTTTATCTTTTGATCCTTGTCATCCATATGGTCCCTGGAGGCAAAAGAGGAGCCCAGGAGGCAGCAATCAAGGCAGAAGCTGATAGATTGTGACATCTTTCCTTCTGATCCCAGCCATCTGCTTGCTCCTCTGCCTCAACCTGTTTCTGGCACAAGTTGACTGGCATACTATGAGTGCCATGGAGTCCCAATTCCTGTGGACCTATTATCTTAACTGGTTCAGTGACATCTTAAACACCTGCGCTGGTGAGTCAGCCCCACCCTCACACCCCTCCTCCCTGCCCTGTCCCAGAAGGGAGAGGGAAATCACTCCTGCAAAGGGAGGGAGAATCTAGGAGAAATAGAAACAGCAAAGCCCCCCCACCATTCAGAACGATATACTTGAAGAGGCAGCATGGTACTATGGGTAAAGTGTGGATTTGGCAATCTGAAAACCTAGAATTAGTAACTTGTTCTCTCACAAAGCGAGCTATGGATAGGTTAAGTAACTGCTCAAGAGCACACAGAAAACAATGAACCATTCTTTAAACCCAGGAGTCAATATTCTAATGCAAGAGAATCACAGGATGGTAAATTAACACTGCTAGGGGAGAGAAGGGTTTACTGGGGGGTGGGGGGAGTTCTTTTGAACTGAATATTAAAGGATGACTAAGAACATTAAACCTCACCTCACCTCAACTCTTTTTCCTGCTTTAGGGATCATCTCTTTTCTCATCTATTTAACTGCCAAGTCTAATCCCCATAATCAAAGTGTCAGAGTGATTCCACAAGAGAAGTCAAGGCTGGGGATTGATCCAGTGCCAAAAGTACTGCCTGCTAAAGCAGGGTCAGGGAAATCTGAGATGAAATCGCCAAGTGTGAGTGGGAAGAGACCACCAAGTACAAGACTGTGATGCTGATGGAGAAAAGTTGAATCCTGCTGTCTTCAAAATGGGGGAGAAGTGAAGTTGGGAATGATTGTGCAAATTCTAGGAAACCTTCCTGATATTATATCCATATTAATGAAGGAGGTATCATTAAAACTAACAAAGTGTCTTTGTGTATATTGCAACCAAAATATGTATGATAGTCATAAAGAAGATACTGAAAGGCTAGAAAGATGGCTCTGCAGTTAAGAGTACTTGCTACACAATCATGAGGATCAGAATTCAGATTCCAGCACCACATACCAAGCATCTCAAAGGAATGGGCGGAGGTGAGTCGATGGAGAATATATAACACCTTGTTCTGGCGCCTGCACACACATACATTTGCACACACACAATTTTTTTTGGTCTTTTTGAGACGGAGTTTCCCTATAGTCCCAGCTATCCTGGGACTCACTGTGTAGACCAGGCTGGCCTTGAATTTGCAGAGATCTGCCTGCTTCTGCCTCCTGAATCTGAATGCTGGGGCTAAAGGCATGCAATACTACACCCAGAGCAAAATATGTTTTAAAAAGAGAAAGTAGCAGGTCATGGTGGCACACACCTTTAATCCCAGCACCAGGGAGGCAGAGGCAGGTGGATTTCTGTGAGATCAGGGCCAATCTGGTCCACGTAGGGAGTTCCAGGCCTGAGGGAACTACAGGGAGACTCCGTCTCAAAAATTAAGTTAAATTAAAAATTAGTAAATGAAGCCAGGCGTGGTGGTGCACTCCTTTAATCGGAGGCAGAGGCAGGTGGATTTCTCTGAGTTCAAGGTCTACATAGTGAGTTCAAGGACAGCTGGGGCTACAGGGAGACCATCTCAAAAAGACCAAAAAAATAAATAAAAAATAAATAAATAAAAATAAATAAATAAATAAACAAATAAATATAAATAAATAAAGAGAAGGTAATGAAAATTCACACATTTTAAAGCAATTGTGTGTTTGTGTGTGTGTGTGTGTGTGTGTGTATGAGTGTATTGCCTACATGTATATAAGTGTGCCCAAATTGTGCAGTGCCCACGGAGGTTAGATGAAAGTGTTGTATTCCCCTAGAACTGGAGTTACAGATGGCTGTTAGCTGCCATGTGCGTGCTGGGAATTGAACCTGAGTCCTCTGCAAGAGCAGCCAGTGCTCTTAACCACTGAGCCATTTCTCCAGCCCCTTAAATTAAGATTTATTTTTATTGGGGGGGAGGAGAGAGAGAGAGAGAGAGAGAGAGAGAGAGAGAGAGAGAATGAGAATATGTATGCCAGAAGAGGGTGTAGGATCTTCTGGAACTGGAGTTACAGGCAATCGTGAGCTGTCTGATGTGGGTTCTTGGAACTGAACTGGGGTCCTCTGGAAAAGCAGAAAGCTGTCTTAACCCTTGAGCCATGTCTCCAGCCCTCACTTAGAATTTTTTTAATTTGTTTGTTTGCTTTTGTTTTTGAGACAGGGTCTCACTATGTGGCTCTAGCTGACCTGGAACTTGCTACATAGGCCAGGCTGGCCTCAAACTCACAGACTCCCCTACCTCTGCCTTCCAAGTGCTGGGATTAAAGGTGTGCACCGCCATGCCCAGCTCTTAGAAAATTTTAAAGACAAAAAGAAGTGTTGTTTAGGGTCACAAATGAAAAAACTAGCACTAACCATAATATAGGGAACAGAGATTTCTTTGGGCCCTAGGGATGTCATAAATCAGAATGGTCCAGGTGATAAATGTTAATTTTTTTGAATTTTTTATTGTCTCTGGCTTTGGGCATACCCAATACCAATGAATATGGATTGGAGATCACCAGTGGAGACAATATCAACTACCCAAAGGAGCTGAGAGGTACTGAGTGGATTCTGGGGCCCTGATGGATCCCATTCCTATAAAGATTGGTACTTAAACTCTATAGTCAATTATGTAAACCTGCTGCATCTCCCTAAACAAGAAGAAAGTTTTAGTTAGGCATTCACAAACTCACTGAAATTCTTTAGGAAACTTGTATCGGCATTTTTCTGTGAAGAGGGCCATGAACTCCATCAGATCCTCGACAGGCTTGTGGTCCTTTTCATTCTTCAAGCACCAACTGCAATTTATTGAGCCAATCAGGGCTAAAGGACTTCCTCAGCCTAAGTCCATATTTATCTAAGACCAAGCTGAGAAACTTCCATGTCTTACCTGTCCTGTAAGCCGGTAAGCCTTTTTGGGCAGTCACACGCATTTTTCTCATGGAGGGTGGCTAGAATGAACCCAGGGCCGTGTGCATGCCAACCATGCACTCTACCAAAACATGTTGCTGTTTTATCTTCTTTGAGAACAGCTGTATTCTCAGCCCCCTCCTAAAGATCATACGCTAAACGAAGACCCCTTTCAAATCCAGATTCCATGCTGAAGATCCCTGACACCTGTATGTGCACTTGTGCAAGTATGCATGCTTGTGTATGTGCCTATGGAGGCCAGAGGTTGACCTTTGGTGTCTTCCTGTATCATTCTCTGATTTTTTATTTTTTAAAAAATACTTTATTAGCCGGGTCGGGTGGCACACACCTTTAATCCCAGCTCTCGGGAGGCAGAAGCAGGCTGATCGTTGTGAGTTCAAGGCCAGCCTGGTCTACATAGTGAGTTCCAGGACAACTGGGGCTACAGGGAGACCCTGTCTCAAAAAGACCAAAAAAAAAAAACCTTTATAGTTTTTATTTTATATGTATGCGTATATTGCCTGCATGTAGGTCTGCACCCATGTCATACAATGCCCATGGAGGTCAGAAGAGGGTGTCGGATCCCCTTGAACTGGAGTTAGGTATGGTTGTTAGCCACCATGTGGGTGCTGAGAATCGAACCCGGGTCCTCTGCAAGAGTAGTCAGTGCTCTTAACCTAGAGTCATCTTTCCAGCCCCACCACTTTATTTTTTTTTTTATTTTATTTATTAGCCGGGCATGGTAGCCCACGCCTGCAGTACCAGAAGTTGGGAAGCAGAGGCAGGCGGATCTCTGTGAGTTCAAGGCCAGCCTGGTCTATGTAGTGAGTTTCAGGACAGCTGGGGCTACAGGGAGACCCTGCTTTAAAAAGACCAAAAGATCTGCCTGCCTCTGCCTCCTGAGTGCTAGGATTAAAGGCATGTGCCACCACGCCTGGCCTATTGTTTTTATTTTTATGGGTATGATTGTACTCCCTGCATGTATGTGAGTGCACCCGTGGTCATAAGAGGGCTTCGGATTCCCCTGGAACTGGAGTTTAGGATGGTTTGTAGCCACCATGTGGGTGCTGGGAATCGAACCTGGTCTTCTGCAAGAGCAGTCAGTGCTCTTAACTGCTGAGCCCTCCACTTTATTTTTTTGATACAGGATGTTCCAGTTTGTTTCTTCATTGTTGTGACAAAACACTCTGACCAATACCAACTTGGGGAGGAAAGGGTTTATCTTACATCTCTTAGGTCACAGTTCATCACGGAGCACGAGGTAGGAACTCAGAACAGGAGCCTGGAGGCAGGAGCTGACGCACAGGCCATGGAGGATCCCTGCTTACTGGTTTGCTCTCCTGGCCTCTGCTCAGCCTGTTTTCTTATGCAACACAGGCCCACCAGCCCAGGGGTGGCACCATCTGCAATGGGCTGGGCCGTCCCACATCACTCAACAATCAAGATACCCCACAGACATGGCCACAGACCAGTCCAATGGAGGTAATTCCCCAATTGAGGCTCCCTCAACCCAGGTGTGTCAATAAAGCTATCCAGCATACAAGGGTCTCTCACTGACCTGGAGCTTGCCATTTTAACTAGCCTGGTTGGCTAGGGAGCTCTGGGGATCCACCTGTCTCCTCTCCCCTGCACATGGGGGTTACAGATGCACACAGCCATGCATGGCTTTCTGTGTAGGTGCTGGGGATCTGAACTCAGGGCCTCATGCTTGTGAGTAGGCAGTTTACCAGCTGAACCATCTCCCCAGTTCTCCTTTGTACCTATAGTATCAGCCACTGTTCCTCTTGGTTGAGATTCATTCTCTTTTCCAAGCCTGCCAGGGGAACAGACCAGGTACCCAGCTTCACTTCATCCTGCTTTCAAAGCTAAGCCCTCAGCTGTCCTTTTTTTGAGAGATTCACTAGTGTCCTAGTTAGTGCTCTGTAGCTTTGATAAAACGCTGACCAAAATCACATTGGGGCGTGTATTAAGTTACTTTCTGTTGCTGTGATAAAACATCATGACCAAGGCCACCTATAGAAGGAAGAGTTTATTTGGCTTACATGTCCATCATGACCAGGGAGACATGACAGGAGGCAGCCAGAACAGAAGGCTGAGAGCTCACATCTTCAAGCAGGTAGAGGAAGCAGAGAAAGATTGGAAGTGGGCAAAGCTATGAACTGTCAAACCCCACCACCAGTGATGTGTTTCCTCCTGAAAGGCTGCATCTCTTAAATCTCCCAAAATAGCCCCACAAACTGGTACAAAGTGTTCAAATATTTGGAGCCTTGTATACAGGGGCATTCTCATTCAAACCACCAAAGGGATGCAAGGGTTTATTTGACTTACATGGTCCTATCACAGTCTATTATTAGAAAACCAAGGTAGAACTCAAGACAGAAACCTGGTGGCAGGAGCTAAAGCAGAGACCATGGAGGAAGGCTACTAACTGACTTGTTTCTCTGACCTGTGCTCAGCCTGCTTTCTTATAAAACCCAAGACTACCTGCTCAGGGGTGGCATTGCCCGCATGGACTGGTCCCTCCCCCATCACTCAATAATCAAGAAAAATGCCTTACATACAAGTTCATAGGCCAATGATAGAGGATTAAATTCCCCACCCAAGATTCCCTCATCCTGGGTGTATCAAGTTAACAACTGCCCCTATCCAGCATAACTGGTAATACGTATAGAAAATACAAGTAATCTACATAATGCAATTCCGTAGTTGTTATAATCCAAAATCCATGATCAACAATTGCCAAACATTTTCAGACCGTAACTAGAAGCCGTTGTGCGACATTAATCCTAGGGATACCTGAACAAACATATACTCACCCCAAATAAAGCACCAACAGCAGACCAAAGTAAGG